ATTAAGGTGCCGCGATTTATTTTAATTCCTGGCAACCTTGTTGGGTGAGCTTTAACGGTAATTTTCCGTATAATCTAACGGTGGCAAATCTCATTAGATAATCCAGTTAACGATACTCGTTTAACTATACTCTCCCCTTTCCTTTTTTCGTCTTTCGAATAGGTGTCGAATGAAAATACGAGTTATTTTTTCTTTCGTTGACCGAACGAGTACACACACGAATATTTACTTTCGTTGACACCGCTCGTCTCTTTCGATGTTCGTCAAACCATTACATTATCTTTTTCTTTTATTTTTTATTTTATTATATTTTATTTTATTTTATTTTATTTTATTTTATTTTATTTTATTTTATTTTATTTTATTTTATTTTATTTTATTTTATATTATTTTCTTTTTCTTTTCAGGACGTAATGAGCGAGTACGAACGAATCAAGCGTTCGTGCTTGAAACGAGGTGAACTCTGGGAGGATCCTGAATTTCCAGCTACGCAAGCATCTGTATTCTATCATCAGACACCACCGTTCCAATTTCAATGGAAAAGGCCAAAGGTAATTGTTCTTTATAATCATTCATGAAAATTGACTTGATAGAAATTCGTATCTCTTCTCCCAGTATTCCTTTGAAGGAATATCCTGAAAAGTGAGGAGGTTCTCCGGTTCGCTCCAATTCTCTCGTAAAACGGAATGAATAGGAACTGGAGACTTAGGAACCGTAACGAAAACAGTACGCAGCCTTGACACGTAGACGGTAGTTGGTGTCGTCTTTTCCTTGTCGTCTACCTTGTCTTCGTGACTGTAATCGCGGAACCGAGCCTTTCGTGAGCTACTACGTTAACTCGAGTAACGGTTCCCTATTTTTTTTTCTTCTTTTCCTTCATACAACTATTCGCTCCGCAGATTTTTCTTAGTAATTTTATGCGTTGCGTCTTTCTCCCCTTATCTCTTTCATATTCTTACACATGAAGACTATAAATCATTTTCTTCGTTTATCTAGTTATTCGATTATATTGTAAATTTGATCTATATCAGCATATATATATATATATATATATATATATATATATTTTGTCGTTTCGACGATTCATCAAAAATATTTAAAGTAAATCGTCGGTTAGCTTGGAAAATTACGATCGAGCCGAGGATCAACGATCTTACGATGGTTACGCAATATACACGATGAGACGAGAAACGAGAAACGACAAGAGAGTCAGCGACGCGTAACCAGATCCCCTTTCTGCGTTCTGGACGACAGAAATTGCGGGCTCTCTCAGCGAGTGCATAAATACGTTTAACCATGCCGATAAAAGGCACGCAAACGACGTTTCCGCAATGTATTTCGAAGTTGAACTAGGATTTTACATTTAAGCGTATATCAGGCAGAACGATATAATCCATTTCATTGGAAGGTTTCTTAGCGCTTTATGTGCCGTCTAATTAACGGTAATTAATTGTACCGTGCGGTATAAAAGCGTCGCACGTTTCCGGACCACACGAGAAATCTATTGTTAAACGCGTGAATTTCTTTCTAGCGGGATTTCTTAATACAGAGTACGTAGTAATCCGAATTGTCGGATAGTTATTATATTTCTGTAGTAATCAAGTTAAAAAGATCAAAATTATATTCTATCATACATATCGTTATAATTTAAGATTTTTACCGTATTCGATAAAATCTTTTTATCTTCATTAAACGTCAATTTTTTCCAGGAACTCTGCAATCGTCCGATATTCGTCAGCGATGCACCAGCACAATTCGACGTTATTCCCGGAAAAATGGGTAAGCCTAAAAATCTCAATGTTCATTTATTTTCCAAGAATCGATAAGTCAGGAGTTCATCTCGTACAGATGCAAATCTCGTTCCCATCGACTTTCTTCGCGATCCAATGACCTGAAAATCTTTCTCCTCAACCTTCGATGATCGTGGGATTTAAAATACAGGTATTTCTCCGGAGATGGGTCACAGCCATTATAGAGCGTCTTGCATTTAAATTTCTAACTTTTCCCATAAATCTATTCAATTATTCAAAATTTTTTTAATGTATCAATACTTTCCAATTAAACGATAAAAACGTGATACTCTAACAATACTTCCATATGTGTAAATATGATGTGTCCTTCGTTCGATAATAAAAAAAAAAAAAAGAAAAAAAAACAGGAAGGAAAAAAAAATAAAGAAAACAAAACTCGATATCTTAATCAGCACGTAAATCTACGTAAATGTAACTTCCTCTCGAATGATAAACACGTTGTTCACAATTTGGTAATAGGATCGTGTTCGGCACATATCTTTTACCACTTTTCAAGGCACGTAATAACAGCAATTATGAGACAAACGGTGGTTATTAAGTAATTAGACATCCTGTCGCATCCAAATAAGCCATAATGCTGTCTCTCAGAGTGACTTACTTAATACCGTTAATACTCCATTTTACAATACACTCTACAAATTAACTAACGAACTAATTTTTCAAAAAGAAAAAAAAAGAAAAAAAACGCAGATCTTTGTAATTCACAATCTATCGTACATCATTATTATCTCGATAATAATTTCTTAAATGGATATACATAATATATGAGAAAGAGAAAGATAGAGATAAAAATAGAGATGAAGAATTTATCGAGGTATAATTGAATCGAAGGAAATCACAGGGACAATTTGAAACTTGCTTTACGTCATTCTTTTTTCCGATCGTCTAAACACGCACACCTGCATATTTATACACGTATAAATATACATACGTAAACTTTTCCTTCTTCCTTATGATCTTGTATCAAGAATTCACGTGCAGTTTACAAGCACGGAAAGAGGAAGACATCGACGGAAGTCGAGCTCACTGATACCGATCGTTCTACGTTCCAAGAGTTATAACATTTGTTGCAAGTAAAATGCAACTTGTCCCGTTAACGAGTACGAGTAAGAACACCGTAAGTACGCTCGTAACAGAATGATGACGCGTAATAATTTGCCTCGACCTACATTGCACAACGAAAATTCGACGATCTTCTTCCAAGGCCTCACGCTCGCGAACTCGCGCTACGTGATACTTTAAATCGTTCACGAAACGAATCCAGACACTCTTGTCGTGTCTTCGAACAGCACCGAGAAGTTTACTAACTTTCATCGAGAATCTTTTCAATGCATTCTCCGATTGCCATACGTAGGCGACTTATTTCTAACTTTCCTAATCCCACGTAGCCCGAGTAATTCTCGAAGAACTTGACACTTACATTGAACTATCATTAAAGCCGATTAAAATATTTCAAGAACAATGACTCAGCAATAATTCTCGATTCCCATGGAATCCTTTATAATATTACTATACATGTTTTTTATTATAACCGTGAACTTAACATTCGAAATATCAAGCAATATAATTCTGTAATTTATAAATAAATTCGAACGAATGAACGAATATTTATTTCATGGATAACATAAGTTCTAAGTAACATTGTAACTGAATTAATACGTTGTCTAAGAAAAATCGAAATTGAATTGAATCATCTTAAAGAAAATTGTATTTACTACCTATTACTTCACTTTATAATTGATATTGTCATCGCGAACGTCGATCGACGAGCTATCGTCTACGTATAATTCGTCTGATGTAAACCGGGTTTACCGAGGTAGTGAAAGTGGAACGATAGCTTGTGCTTCAATGAAGATACAAACGCGAACGAAGATTATGATTCATGGATTATCATTCGATTAAAGTTTCGCCTCCAATAGACGATTCTTACGATTAAGGATCATCGATGATCGATCGAGATTGCAAACTCTCTCGTAAATATTCTTCTCGTGCTGTAATTAATTCAAATTAGTGTATTTACAATAGCTAACTACTCCATTAAAATCTACGATCTTCTAAATGATGATCTCTGTTCGTTAACGACGTTAACGGATTATGCGAAGGAATTGCATAAACCTCGAAGAAAAGAAAAGAGAGTATCGCGTCATAACCCCGTCTACAGTTACGATAAATTGTCAACGTTAATCTCCTCGTTGCGAAGTTAACAAGCGTGGGAAAAGTTAGGTGTGTTATTAGAAACAAGACGAAGGTAAGAAAGAGACACGAATCTTACGAAAGAGATGCCGAAGGATTAAGATTTCTTTTCCCTCCATTTGGCAAGGAACATGATAGAGACCGATCTATAAAGGATACATAGATCCTCGATCTTCGTTCAAGGTTATGGGAAAATTTTCTTAAATGATCGAGGAGCCACCGTTCAACGAGTCACTTTCAATTTCGAAGGTCAAATCGATTAGATCTCGTAGTCTTATTTTCTCTCTCTCTCTCTCTCTCTCTCTCTCTCTCTCTCTCTATTTTTAACGAGAAAATTCGCATTAACGTGACGCGTTCATTCTTCATCGAACAAGAAAGAGTCGATCATAAATTATTATACGCCGAACAGACTTCGTTAAAGGATGTCATGAATCGAGCTGAAGTATAGGGAACATGCTGTAAAACCAAAACTGCTATTAGTTTTTATTACATGAACGCAGTCGATACGTTAACGTCGACGATAATTGTGCAGACCCCTTTAAAATACGGTTACAGAAGTCAATTGACCGAATCGTTAGTCGACAGCTTTCAAAAAATATGAATATTACTAGCAAAATGAGTTCATTAATAACAAATGGTTAAATATACTTTTCAAATATACCTACAGAACTGAGTAGCATAATCATAGATATTTTAGTCTCGGTTAAAAGAAAACATATTGATCGTTTAATTATTTTCTCATAAATCAATATCATCTAATTTATCATATTTCATAGTTTATTTCAACAATAAATATAGAAAAATTAGCTGTCTTAATTTTTATATTTTTATGATTAAAAAATTTCAATTTAAATATTTTATTTATATTTTATTTTTCAACACTTATTTTCGACGCAGTTTATTCCTTAAAATATTTTAATTTGTAATTTTAATAAATTACTTCATCGACTATTTTTCGTATTATACACACGTAAATATTATATATATATATATATATTTTTTTTTTATTCATAAAAAGTATTCTTTTTCTTCCTCTCTTTAACTATCTCATGACGTTTAAGTTCTTTTCGATTGAAGGACATATTCCTTCTTTTTTTCAGGTGACAAATGGTTGGTTTCATGCCTGGGTGTTCTTCACTTGAGTAAAGGACTCTTCTACAGGGTGGTACCAGCCGATCAAGATTTTGGGAATAATGGTGAACCACCAGGATCACCGAGCGCAGAATATGCCGGTGTCTTTAGATTTCGTCTATGGTGGTGTGGAGCTTGGGTCGAGGTTCTGGTCGACGACAGACTCCCGGCTGTTCACGGAAGACTGGCCTTTGTGCAGAGTCGACATAGTGATCAGTTTTGGCCAGCCCTTCTGGAGAAAGCGTACGCAAAGTAAGTTATTCAACGAGAAATTTCTCCTCTTATAAATTCATTATTTACTTTTTAAATATTTCTTAACACTTTCATAATATAATAATACATACGTTTAAAACTCGAATGCAATCAACTAAATATATTTCTATGAATTTTTTAAACATTATGAAATCTAATTGTCCGAGTTAAACAAAATTTATTTTATTTGAATAAATATAACACACTTTAATTGCCGAATAAATCTTATATAAATTAAATCCATACGTATAATTTCTTTTACAATTTCTTACGGATAAAAAATATACAAAATTAATTGTTATATTTTTTAAATTAGACTATAAGCTATATCAGAAATTAGAGAAAATAATTCTAATCTCGTAAATGACAAAAAAAAAAGAAACAAAGAAACATTTTAAAAACATTGAATAATTTACAAAATTATCTGTCTATCAAAGCAAAGAAAAATGAAAGTAATCGTTTCAATGAAAAAAAAATTCTTCTCTCGGACAAGAAGAACTCGAACGTATATCTTATCTAGAGACGAATGGACCGGCGGTATTCCATTGCGTCCAGAAAAGGGCTCTCACTTTTCTGTTTAAACGTAATGGCGGAAAAGCGTGAATTATGGCCGACAGGTCGATGTATGCTCGGAAAGAAGGTGCCTCGGTCTTGCTCACAAGAGAACGATCCGCACGTTATGCGCGCTTTTGTAGTGGGCGGTGTGGGCGTTCACCAGGTGGATGCACTCAAGGTGCAGCTATGCACCGAGGAGCCGACCTCACGGCGATAGATCGATGAACCTTGATCGCGATCTCCGTCCTCTCGTCTCGCGCCGTAACACCCACACGTCAGATGATCAACGTTATGCTTCTCTATTGCGACCCTGAATATATCCGTTTAACTCGACTTTCTTTCGATTCGTTCTTAACGAGGAACTTCTCCTATCTAAACATAGTTATAACATTAATATTATTAGTTAATTATCGTGAAACACATTCAAAAAAAAAAAATTATTCTTAACAAAATGGAATAAATTTTTATAGAAAAAAAAAAGACAAAAAAAAATTCTTTTACGTACGAAACTTACTTCACGAAAAAATCGATTTTAAATATCAATATTTATAATAAATATATTTCATTGATAACGAAAATAATGTAGAAAAAAAGTCTAAGACATTAAGAGAAACAAATGAAACTATCGGAAAAACGAGGAAGAAAATCGATTTTAAAAGAAGAGAAGGAAGGGGGTCGTCAAGTTGGCGGAGAGTCGAGAAGAGAAGATCCCAAGAGTCGAGAAGATCTCAAGATCCAACGGAATGATCCGTGGCGCGAGTAATCGTTCCTTGCGATCTCTCTTTGAGTTGGAAGATGAGTTTACGCGGACGAACGAGGATGACCGGTTCTACTGGAGGTCCTTGCTCCTCTTCTTAATCTTCCACTGATGACCCATCGTCCTCCTGTCTCTCCATCCTTCCATTTCTTCTACTCCTTATCCACTTCATCTTCTTTTCACTTCTTGTAATCTTTTTTTTCTTTCACTACATATTTTTGGAAATTCCCGCTAGACATTAATGTTGACACTTTTAATGTTTCAAAAATGACAATGAATGATTTTATAAAAAAAAAATTATTTTTTCGTTCAAAAAAAAAAAAAATATGTATATATATATATACATATAATTAAACGATCCTCGAAGAATTTTTTTTTTTTTCATGAATTCATCAATTTACTTAAGCTAACCAACTAATATATCTCTCAAACCTGTTTCGCTTCAATGACTGAATATTTAAGCGTTCCTGAGCGTGCCAGCCAACGTAGTCGCTCGTTGTTGATCGAGAGTGTATTAGTTTGCAGAAAGCTCGTAAATCGTTAAAGACCCTGAAGACGACGAATTTCTCTTCGTCTCTTTGCGCGCTCATCGTTAAGTAATAAAAATCATCGTACCTATCCACCACAAGCTACGACTTCGAACACCGTTATCGTGCCTTTAGAAGTGGTTACAGTATTCCTAGTGGCGCTAACGCGGCGAAATACTTCGGACACGATGTGGCCGACGTAAAAGATCGTAGAATGTGCATCGAGCTCAAGACTCATTAATAATTGATCACACGTTACAGCCTCTTGGCGACTTCCGTTCAGCCTAGCTTGGAATGTTATGTACAACGCGTGATTCATAAACGTCACACAACATCATTGAATTACCTTTCCTCGTTCCACAGTCAAAATAATCTCGGAATGTGATGACGTACCAAGTTTGAGCATGAACTTTCAAAGAATTTCTATTTTTATTAAAACTTTTTCATTTGCAATTCGACTTTTATCTCGTTCCGATGAAAAATGTGAAAAATTCTTATAAAAAGATTATCACGTAAATTACTTACATTATCAGGTAAGATTTTTAAAAAGGCTGTCACAATTCTTGGTTGGTGTACATTGCGAATATGCGATTTAAAGGAAAAATACGAGATGATAAAACAACGACACTCAGTGTTCGCGTGCTGCGGTGAATTGTACTTTCAGTCCCCTCAGGCTCGTGCATTTACGATGCCATAAGCGTAAAGAAAACGCAGTGTGCACGAGCACGATTATCTTCCTCATAAACAAATTTACAACGTAATTTCAATGATTGCGAGCGCTAGAAAGTAACGCGAACACCTTTCTTGCGTAAAAATCATGTTTTTGAACTCGTCACATTCTTTTTTGGATAAATAGAAAGATCGAAGGAAGAGACGTAATTTATGATTTTTGTATACTTTCATTTACCTTGAGAAATTTGCATGATCGAATGAATTCATTAAAAATCTTTTAAATCTAATATTACATAGAGCCATGTAGATAAAATTAATTTTATTTGTTGAAAATGATCTGAAAATAATAAAATCACAAATCTGTTATCAAATTATGATAACGAACATATGTAAATATAAATTCTTCGAGACTCCATTTTAGTATTTAAAAATTGATAAAAATCAATAATTTCGAAATTAATTATTAAAAAGATATTAATTATAAAAAAAAAAGTTGCATTGAACGAGATCGTAAAAATGAACGATTCAGATAAATTTTTCAGCTCGTCTATTTAACACAATGACACGAATTTGTATATCTTTTGTCAATAAACTAAGAGAAATAGAGGAAGAGAGAGAGAGAAAGAGGGAGAGGGGACAGGAAGAGAGAGAATCTCAATGATCGTTCATTCGACGACCTTTCCTCTTTCACGACGACCCACCTGGTAATCTGGTGGATTCGGAACGCACGTACACGCGATTTTATTAAGTCAAGAACGTGCATTAGAATCAGTTAGAAAGCTCGTTCTATGGACGATCCATCGTCAAGAGGAACGCGCGAGACGTGCCTCTCGTCGATTTCCATTAGAAAACAAGTGTCATTCGCGATGACCGTCTAAGTTAGTCTCTTCAAATTAACATCTGAAATAACTCGCTCTCGTCTTTTTGTTACTACTTTTTTTTTAATCATCAATAGTATACGCGACACTCATTTTTGCTTAAGAATACGATTTAGATACAAACGAAATATTCTGAAATTAACATTTGAAATAAATTGATCGTCTTCCTTTTTTATTTTTTTTCTTTTTTTTTTTTTATCAAGAACGAAATACACCCGCATGTTATTAATTTCTTATATCTCGAGACCTATGGCAAAAATGTGTAGTATATCTATCAGTAGATTAGAATTAGGCAAGCTTTTTCTGAGAATATTGAGAAATGGAGTTCCAGTTTTTCTTATCTCTCTTTTATTATTTTTCGCCGGTCGAGATCAAACTATAACTTTTCGGTCGAGTGGGGTTTACGTAAGTCGAACGTTCGAAATGTTCTTCAAAAAAAAAAAACTAACGCGATTTGAAAGTCGTATAATCGAATTGAATCCATAGAAAGATCGAATTTTCGTAATGAAAAGTCGGTAACGAAAGTTCAGGTCTTTTACGGTTAATCGGACATTTTCTTCGATATCGATCATTATGGAAAATCATGGAGGAAGAACGAAAAAGAAATGTTTTCTCTAACAAAGAAATAATGGAATCCCGTAGTAGTCACGGGCTTAAAGTTTCTTGGAAAATTAGAGAAGAGGAGGGCGAAGAAGAAGAAGAAGAAGAAGAAGAAATCAGGACTCAACTCGACATCGAGATTTCTGGCATGCTCCGCTATGCTGGGCACCCATACTCGTGCACGCACATGCCAACGTGGTTATATACTAAACAAGTATATACCCAAGCGATACTTTCACTCGGCAAGTAGTCGGTTGGGTGCCAGCAACGGATCAGAGGTCAGTGCACTGGTGACCACGCTACAAGCTCCTATCAAACTCCACGAAATTATTCTAACAGCGTAACGACCTCATTGGACTCGATAGATTATTTACAAAAACAGATCTCTTTCCTTTTGAAATCACTTTTATGATAATTTTACATTGTATTACGTTTTCTTATTTTTTTATTTTATTTTATTTTTTTCTTTTTTTATTTTTTTTTTTTTTCTAAATAAATTATAAAGTTACATCCTAATAATATGTTAAAACAAAATGAGAAAAGAAGTAACACCAATAAGAATATACGATCAAAGCTGACAGAAGTAGCTACGGTTGATAAATGTACAAAAGAGAAATGATTACTACCGGTTACGTTCGTTACGAGACGATGATTCGACGACAACGACGAATTGCACGAGCATTTCATCTTAATCGCGATACGTCGTCGGTCTTCCTTGAGAAAATACCCATGCGATTCTCTCTCACTCGTGCGTGCGAATGGTTACGCTTTAGAGATTAATTTACGCTCGAGCTTTCAAAGAACGTGTATTTACATATATACGTATAAATATAGATGTTGTCTGTTTACTGGTATACATACAATCTGTGTAAATACATTTGCCTATACATATCGTTAACGTATTTTATTATCATAAAATTGCAAATACTGATATTAAAAGATATCTTCATTAAAGTCAATTAAAATTTAAAAAAATAAAATGTCTATCTACATGTATCTATATGTATGTATATAAAGAAGAAAGTTGTTTGTTTTCGAAGTTCTAGCGAATACGAAATCGATTTCTCTCTGTCTCTCGAGTAGATCGATCGATCGAAGCGCGGGAATCTCTTTCGATCTATCAACGACAATAATTTTCACGAGATCTCTTGACCTGCCTCAACGATGCGCTTTTACTTCCTCTCTCTTTCTAATTCAGCCATTAGTTATTAGTTTCATTCGAACGTTTCAGACTTCATGGCTCGTACGAGGCACTGAAGTATGGCACACTGTTGGATGGTTTGTCCGATCTCACTGGTGGCATCACAGAAAGTATCGCTATTAGACAGGATCCCACGGCTTGTGGTAGAGCTTTGTCGAAGCTTTTAGATATGACGTCTCTAATCACCTGCGTTGTTCACAATAATCAACAACACCAGGTAAAATAATTATCATGAAAGTGAATCGAACAAAGAGGCTCGATCGAAAGTAAAATAATGTTCACATTAATGTCTTATATCTTTCAGTTACGTGCCAGTACGGAAAAATTAGCGAACGGTATACAAATGGGGATAAATTATAGATTGTACGCCATCGAGAGGGTAAGTGAACATGTAAACCATACCATGTAATATTTCCTCTAATAATTCTTAATTTTCTATCGCATATCCTGTATGATTGTAAGATTTTTAAAATAAGTAAAGAACATGTATCGCAACACGTAGGTAGAGACATTTAGTGGTGAGGCCGTACAGCTGGTAAAATTACGAAATCCTCTTGGTCCTGGTGGCGAGTATATAGGTGCCTGGGCACGTGGCGGTCTTGAGTGGGATGAAATTCCAGCAATGGAAAGAGAACGTTTGGCGGTTAGAAACATGGCTGAAGGAGAATTTTGGTGAGTTATTGATATATAAAATATAATTTAAAGATCAAAATTACAGATAAAAGATAACGAAATTTTTTCTCCTTAAAGGATATCCTATTCTGATTTTGTCAAGACATTCACTCATTTAGAAGTGGTCCATTTAGATGCTGAAACATCAAGGGACGAGCCATCATTGCACAATAAACATACATGGCAAATGAAATTATATCAAGGTAGTTGGAGGAGAGGTGTTACAGCAGGTGGATGTCGAAACAATCAAGGTTGGTTTAATATTAAATAGAAAAATATATACGAACGAATAAAAAAAAAAAAAAAAAAAAAAGAAAAAAAGAAAAAAAAAATTCTAATACGTATTTCCTATTACTCAGAAACCTTTCACATAAATCCACAACTACACTTGATTCTCAGCGAGATGGAAGAAGTGATTGTATCGCTGAATCAGCATTCTATTATGGAATTGAAAGTAAGAAACATTTAATGAACTCTTACGGTAAGTGATATTAGATTAAAATTTAATTTTCTTTCTTTTCTGTTTTTGTCTTCTACTATAGGTAATAGGTTTTACCGCGTACACTTTGCCGAAGAACAGTACGGAATCGATCAACAAACAATTTTTTAAGAAGAACAAATCTTTGGTGAATTCAGAATACACGAACAGTCGACAAGTGAGTCACAGATGTCAACTCGAGCAGGGTGGTTACTTGTTAGTACCAACGACCTTCGAGCCAACTCAAGAAACGAGTTTCACGTTACGAGTCTACAGCAGTAAACCTTTGAAACTCAAGTATGTAGATCCATCCATCGAATTATCACGCATAGAATAACGTACACCATGATAAATTCTTATTGTACACCGTTCACGATAAATTAATCGATGAATTAATAATGATATTTCATAGATTACTGGATACCCCACCATCGTTAATGAAATCAGCGATTGTGAAAGCTCCTCCACTCGAAGGAAAAGGATTTTCTCAATATGAAGCCGTATTCCTTCAACTAGCCGACGAGCACAGGACAGTAAATGCCTTTGAACTTCAAGAATTACTCGAGGCTTGTCTCCCAAATGGTACAATATTTATCATAACAAAATTAATCTTACAAAATATAATGTATACGATTGTAAAACATTTACATTTCGCAGATTACATTAAAAGTTGCGCCTGCATGGAAGTTTGTCGACAAGTTGTTTTGACGATGGACGTATCCTTTGAAATTAAACTAATCGCTTAATTATTTAATTATTCTATGTAATAAATAAATTTCGTTTTCTTTAATCTTTCTTTGATATAATCGATATAGAGTTCAGGTAGTGGTAGATTAAAGTTTAATGATTTCAAAGATCTCATGTGCAGTTTAAAGTACTGGCAAGCTGCTTTTAAAAATCATACGAAAGAGAAGACTGGTATTCTCAAAGCTGAAAGACTACGAGACGCTTTATTAGAAGTCGGTACGTTTTATATCGTTGCATTTTAAACTCAAAAGATATTAAAGGACTATTGTTTCTGAAGAAATTATTTTCTTGTAGGTTTTCAATTAAATACAGACGTATTGTCGATCCTTATCCTTCGATATATGAGAAAGGACGGAACTCTGCGATTCGGTGATTTCGTCTCTGCTATATTACATTTAAGTGACGCGTTTGGTATGAGATAAAAAAATAAATTAAGTATACAAGATATGATAATCAAATAGAGATACAAACTTGATATTCTCTTCTTTTATTAGGTATATTTGAGAGCAAAGATCCTCTACAGAATGGAACTATAAAATTAAGTTTAGCAGAGGTACGTTAATAAATATGAAATGAAATAAAAAAAAAAAACAATATTTGTACTTTATTTTTTTATCGAAATATTAATTTTTAACGAAAGTTTAGAATTTTGGAAAATTCGATTAATACGTTTCTATTTTTTATTGCAGTGGCTTAGGTCCTCTCTAATGTGCTGAAGTGCCTGTTCATCGTAATTTATGTACCTTAAATCGATTGTAAATAATATTTTTCTATCATGTAATTAGAAATAAGTATTAGCCATATTAACGATTAATGATCAAATTCATTTTAGCCGTTTGTAATATAATATCGTTAATATCACGTTATTGCAAATCGTCATTTTCACTCCATTAAACGTTAAACGTATAAAATTTTGTATAATAAACTGTTTATATAAAATAATTGCATATTATCGTATCGATAATATAAAAAAAAAAATGTTTAATTTATTTTATATATAATATCATACCCTTTCATCCTTCTTAAATATAACTTTTTATATATTTAATCCTTGAGTACGATATAATAAAATATATAAAAACAAAAATAAGATAGTATTGACATGATTTAAATTTACCGCGCATCAATGCGCACGCAGAAATAAAGCAATGGCGGTAAAATCGTGAATTAAATGACTTGGAAATTTTGTAGTTCGCGAATGCGTTGGAAACTCGTTTTCTGGTATAGACATATTTATTAGGAAAATAAGTAAATATCTATCCATGAATTTACTTGTGTACAAATACAGTATTAGAGTTAGAGATTTTACGAGCTGATGGAACCACATTTATTGGACTCATCTAATAGTATGCTACATCATAAGCAATGACGTGGATATAGGTTAGATTTCATACAAGACTCATCGTAACAAAATATTACTAAAAATCTGTTACTGGCAATAGTACACAAAAGAAGACGATCAAATTCAACTCTCAACGATGTTTGAAATCACGGATACACAAAGTAAGTATATTATCGTTCTTATATACTTTATTCATCTTTGTACTGATTGATATTAAAAAAAAAAAAAAAAAATAAAATAAGATAAAACGCAACCCAAGATTATAATACAGTTTGCTATTGCATTTTAATAACAGAAGAACTGTTTTATAGAAATTGGAGTTGGGCTTGCAGGATTTGGAATATCGTTTTTATTCCTTGGAATTTTGTTATTCTTTGATAAAGGTTTACTCGCAATAGGAAATGTAAGTACTTGTGATAAAGATGTAGATATATATTTTAAAGTGCACTAAACTGCTATTTCTTTATCCAGCTTCTTTTCATTTCTGGTCTGGCTTGCGTTATTGGACCACGACGGACTTTAAGTTTCTTTTTTCAATGGCATAAAATCAAAGCCAGTGCATCATTTTTAGGAGGTGTTCTTGTCGTTCTGATGGGTTGGCCTATCGTCGGAATGATTATAGAAACTTATGGCTTTATACTATTATTCAGGTATTTGCTTGGTGTAACAATTCCTGTATTGATTTTTAAAATTGTTTCTTCATTTTCATCGTGTGTTTTTATTTTACAGTGGATTTCTACCAGTAGCAATAAGCTTTTTGAGAAGGATTCCTATACTAGGAACTATACTGAATATGCCAGGTCTTAGTCGAATTTTAAATAAGATAGCTGGTGATACGAACAGAACAACGGTATGACCTGCTTAAAATTTTCATATTTCATGTATATAAAAATAATTGTCACGTTGTACCCCAACTTGTCATTCCTTCTATGGACTTTTTCAAACTCTGTACAAAAATATAAAAGGGTTTGATCTCTTTTGTATTATTTAAGTATTAAATATAAGATCAATTGTACTATATTTGCTTTTTTTTTAATGTTGAAACGATAAGATAACATACAATCAGTGTTATTTACTTTATTGATTTGTGCATTTTTCTCAATAGATTACTTTATTAAGCAAAATAATATTTGTTTAGTTACAATGAAAAAAAAAAAAAAAAAAAAAAAAAAAAAAAAAAAAAAAAAAAAAAAAATTATACATACATCCATTTATAATAAACGCATTATTCTACTAAAAGTAGAAAAGTAAGAGAAAACGAAGATTAAATTTTGTATCATTTTTATTGATTTGCTGCTTTTCCTGCATGCATCTTAACATGAACAGATCAGATACATACATTTTGAATAACGCGTCTCATTATCTTACACATAGTCGACTGGAGTGTGAAATTAAATTAATGTCCTCCTTACTTTGGTGGACTCTCGCTGATACCGTTAAAATGATATTTTATTAATTACGAATAATTAATTATCTACAACGGGCCGAGAATAAGGGCGGGGGGCGGCCCAGGTCTACGCGCCCCGCCATCGCCGTTAGTATTATTTCGTCGCGCGTCCCTCTCGCTCAATTGTACATGCTGTTTCTTTTTTTTTTTTCTACAAATAACCTTCAATATTTACGTTAAAGTCAAATAGACCGATTAATTACCTTTCCAATATTATTAGCTTCTCACATACACGTAACGTTTTTATGCATTACACACCAAACATGTTTCTAAGATTCTTTTTGCAAGTATGCTTGTTTTGTTTTCTATAATGGAAGTGAAATATGAAAATTACATATAACGTGACCTGCTGCAATAAAATACTGAATTCGGCAATAAATTAAGCGAATACTCTTCTAATCGACGATATAACGTATTCTGCCGAGTTTCATGCATTTCACGAGCTGCTGTCAGTTATCTTCAGCCTAAATGAATTATATAAAGTAGTTATTGACAGCTCTTAATAACCTGTCTCTCGATCTGGGAATTGCTATTAAATTGGATGACAAGGATAACGATGAAGGTGGTTGTGATCGCGATTGTGAAGGTAATGAGGTGAGGATATAGTTGCAGTTTTTTAAAGAAGGTTCTTAATTTCGTCGTACAATACAAGTACGAGGGCACCACCAGTACCACGAAGAACGTTAGAGAATGCACCCTTGAAGAAGGCACTACCACCTTCCGATTTGTAAATGGTGGCCCAGCAGTGAAGAGTACTCTTGTACAAAATTTCAGACTTGGCACGTCCAGACTGCATCATCATACGCCTACGTACCGTATCGAAGGGATAAGATACGATACCGGCAACGGTAGTTACAACCTGAAAAATAAACATACGTGTTAATTGTAAACAGAAACAAAACATATCCATTTATTTTTAGAAAGAAATCACTGATCTACCTGAGCAATACCCCATGAAACAAGGAATGGCGTTTTTTTAGGATCTGGCAGCATACCACGGGCAGTGTCGTAGAAACCGAAATAAGATGCTCGATAAATAATGATACCCTGGACGGATACTCCAAAACCACGGTACAGACCGGTAAGACCATCAGTTTTAAAGATCTTACTCAAGCAATTACCAAGTCCACTAAATTCACGCTCTCCACCAGCTTTACCGACATCAGCAGCCAACCTATACAGAATGGTACATTATGGAATATGCTTTTCTGAATTTCAAGACAAAATCAGTAAAAAAAAAAAAAAAAAAAATATAACTAATATAATATACTTTACCTAGTTCTGGCAAAATCCAACGGATAGACAAAGCAGAGAGACGTGGCACCAGCAGCACCACCAGATGCGAGATTTCCAAGGAAATAGCGCAGGAATTGAGTATTCTTATCGACACCACCAAGGAAAACCTGCTTGTATTTGTCTTTAAACGCGAAGTTCAAAGCCTGAGTAGGGAAATATCGGATGACATTCGCAAAGTTACCACGCCAGTAACTTAAGAATCCTTGCTCTTTTGGAATACGAACGAAGCAGTCGATCATACCTTAAAAATAAAAATATTTCTCTCAGTACAAAAGAACTTTTAATAGACATCAAGTATGTACAACATTAACATGTTTTATTTTTTTAATTTATCCAAAGATAATGGAACAAATAGAAAAAAAAAATTTGTCGGACCTCAATTCGTACGTGCATTAATTGGTATTACGTCGTAATATCATCCAACTTATTTTATCGTCAGATTTCAAAATAATTTGATAGTATTATTTCAAGAAATCAATAAAATTCGAAAAAAGTAATACTTAAAAACAATTACATTTCTAATTTTAATAATTACATATCCATTTCATGGTCAACGTCAGTTATCATAATGTGAAAATATATAAATTTATTATATAAATTATTCAACATGGTCTCCTTTCAAGATCACATACATTTTCACGACGTCAAATCGTTACGAAATTCCAACATCGTAAATGTTTTTTTAACAATGGAAATAATTCCATTCATAAAAGGACTGTAAATTCATTGACATATCGATCTATCATTATTGCGACCATAAGACAATGGAATTAAACGAATAAAAACGATTCGAACGTTATTCGAAAGGCGGCCATGTTGGCCCGCATCGTCATCGATCGGCAAGCAAGGAGCACGCATTGTCCAGTGAAAAAGCGAAGCCTCGTTTAGTGCCATCTGGTAGGCAAAATGTCCTTATGGAATATCGACCCGCTATTATCCATCAAAATGCATACATTTAATTCTTTTCAACTATTTAACACCTCTCTGTATGCAATGTTATATAATCACGTCGAAAATCGACCTTCCTCTGTGTTATATAAACGGACAAAACTTCGGAAATACTTGAGTGGTACATGCGACGATGCGCTTTGATCCGACATTGTTCCTCCCCTCGTTCATGACCATTACATAACGGTATAAATCTCGTCCCTTCGCCAATACCGTGATATCATTCAACTAGACGGACTTTCCATGTCTCGAGGAAAATCTCGATTACCACGAACTTTTAAGAAATATGAAATAACGCTAATGACTAATGGATTTGATTTAGGCGTTAACAAAGGTCTCCTTGGGAGGAGCAGATTTTGACCGAATCGAATCAAGAATTGATTCGAACCGGTCCCTGAAAATAGACATTTAAATATTTCGTTTGAAGAAAAATTAAACTTACCCTTGTAGCGCTGATCTTCGGCAATTTGCTTAGAGATGTGCTGTACCTGCAGCAAAAGTTTCACACGTTCGATCGGCGCTACAGCCGTCTTCGAAATAGCAGCAGCCACGCCGCCAGCCACGAAATCCTTGGCGAATGCCACTGGGTCCGCTAAACCAGACATCTTTTTTTTCTTCTTTGTCGAATGTGGATACTCGCTTAATCGCGAGAGAGATATAGAAACGGGTTAACGAACGGGAAGGAGAGACGAGGAGAGAAACTCACTCCTACTTGTTTATTGGACGCGCGCCGGACGACGAGTGAGCGAGGCAGAGTTCTTCTCGTCGAACGGACCCTCTGCTAAGAATAGACGCGCAGGTCACGTGCCGTCTTCTGCGCAGGTTCAAGCTTCTCTGGCACGACCGTTCCTTCGGCCAACCTTAGAGACCGTGACACTAAACGTACTTCCGAATCATTCCTCTTCTTACCCTAATTCCGTGACCTTACCTTCACTACGTGCTTCAACAACGAAACTCCTGCATTTTCACGGTCGGAACATTTAATGGATAAAACCAAAAGCATCGTTTCATTCGAAAACGATTACAAGTTTGAAAATTTCCCGATTTACGCGCCCTACCAAATGGTATTTCCGGTTGGTACGAACCTATAAGGAACGTCTTCTATTAAGAAACTCCTCGAGCGCTCGTGGCGGAAATATTACGAAAGATCCACTTTCGTATATATGACTCGAACATTCTCCTAAAAAATAGAAAGATAAGCATAGATTTTGAAAGAAACGATCTTACATGAGATCGTTTATCAAAAATGTAATATACAATATCACCAAACGTCAATAATTATAAAAGTTTCGCATATCTCTTATATTGTGGTATTATCATTCGATATTACGTGAATATTTGAATTACCCGCGTATTTTTCTATCATGTGACAACCAATCATATGTTAGATATTGCAAACTAATGCCGCGTGGACGTCGATATTAGGCTTCTTTCTTCTACCTTGTTATTCGCTACTCTTTATATTATTTAAAATAAGAGAGAATTATTTACATGAAACGTTTATTCTTGCCAACGGTAAAATCATAAACGAATTCATATAAAATAGATGCATTTATAGTTATTTCGCACGTGCTCGACAACTCGAGCTCGGCCAGGAAACGAAAAGATAAAATCTCGTCTATAGACGAAACATTATGTCAGGGACAAGTTCCTAGCATGACCGAGATTCTCCGAACTTACAGTAATGTTCTCAATTGGAAACGACCGTTGTTGCATACTGTTCTCATACCGATCGATCGATTGGCAACGTGATCACGCGCATATTATAGCTCGTGCTTGTCCGTTAGCTACGCCCTTCTTAGCCATTTTTTTTTTTATATCTTCCTTTCCTTCCTAACTTTTTTCCTAACTTTCAATTAAATAAGCATGATAATAATTTGTTCGTATTGATTGATCAATTAAAATGACAATCATTCGCGAAATGTTCCCTTGGTGATTTCATGTTTTCAAGAATGAGACGCAAGGTTAATCTTTTCACACACAAAGAGGTCAACAGGGCACGACTTGCGTAACTCTGGCTTAGGGCCAGTGTGTGCCGAAGCACAGCGCCAGAGTTCAATGGAGTAACGTCGAGCAAAAGGTGTATTTATACATCTCTCAGAGATTCGTAGATTTTCGTTGTGGTGGACCTTGCAGAGAATAGAACATCGCTAAATGCGTCCTTTCAACGTCTACGTTATCCTGACGTTCAAGGCATCTTCGTACGAAGTAGTAGTAGTCGATTGTACAACTTATTTTGATTTCAACATTATCTTACCATCTTCATTTCCGTCTTCATTTTAAAAATATTGTTTTTATCTATGCCTTTATCTATGCCTGTTTTTATGTTTTTATCTATGTATTTTACCAAAATATGTATGTTCTTAATTAGAAATATTATTATTATTATTACTATTATTATTATTATTATTATTATTATTATTATCATTATTATTATCATTATTATTATTATTATTATTATTATTATTATTATTATTATTATTATTATTATTATTATTATTATTATTATTATTATTATTATTATTTTATAGACATACGAGACGATACAAATCATTCATACGTATCTCTTAATTTATTTCTGTTTACAATAGTTTTTTTTAAATCGTCAAAGATACGACGTTTCCTTGAAATCTAATTTATTTTTCTTCTTTTGAATCGCATATATAGAAGTTTGGAAAAAGATGAAAGGAAAAAAACAAATTTGTTAATACAGAAATTATCTCGATCTAATATAATGATTTAATATCATGCATGAATATTTAATAGTATATACTAATCGATGATTTTAGGTGGAACGTGTTATGTCATTGATGCTGCTCAGTAAGATTTAAGCGACCTTGCCTACGCATTTGGCTAGCTTGTTATATTATGTATAAACTGTCACAATAATAAGTCCAAATAATAATCTACGAGTGTTAACATCATATTCTTGTCAGCGTTAGGTTAGTCACAAAAAATATTTTATTGTTATTATAAGTAATTTAAGAAAGGATATTGAGGTTAAGTTCGTTAATTATTTTCATGATTTGTTATTCTTGAAAAATAATCATTTTTCTAAAGTGTTCATATATATAAATTATTTTTTAATAGGGTTTATCTGTATAAACGAGAAGTTAATTAAACTTGCAAATATAGGAAACGATGCATATTACATAATCTTTATTCTAACGTTAAATGCATTATATGCACGTATGTATGCACGTATGTATGCACGTTGAATCGATACGATATGATAAACGATGTTATCGAAATTACGAGATTATTTTTAACGTGTTATTTAACATTGAAAGTCAAAGGTATCTTTTTATTCTTTTAAAGACGCAATCAAGAATAATATATATTGCTAACGTAGCATTACAACTCGACAACAGTCTCCAGTGTTATAGATTGGATTGAATGACAACCTTGATATTACAAGCATAGACAGTATCTCACATAACTGCACTCGTACATGATTCAACCATGGTCAATGCACTTAAATTGGACGGTTGTTTTATGTGAACTCGAATGAAAATAATTACGAAATAACAATTGATAAATATGATAACCTTAATGATCGTACCAATGTTTATCCATTCATTTTATTTCATTTAATTATATATATGAAATTTTGTTCTTATTGAACTTTGAATAAAGATATATTTGCATACGTTATGTTAGGTATATATATACATATATATATATATAAAACATTAGTGGTCTATATATTACAAATGTTTGATAAGATATTTAATATTAATGATTAGAAAGTATGACGTAAAGCATTTTAATGCTGAGACTACTTCATTCGTCGTAAAGAATAAGTAAGAATTTATATCATGAAGCTTTAATAATAAGATCAAGGAAAAGGAACGAATGAGTGATTTAATAATTATTTATTAACAATCTTGATCAATTGATATTGTAATTGTCATAAATATCATTAACCATAAAGATAGAAGTGAAGCAATGAGATTTAAGAATCATAATAGTCGTAGGTGGCGCCGATAATAAATTAACTAAAATAGATCATGTAAAAATAGTTAGATAGAAATTCTGCATTACCGACGGTTAAACTTAAGGTATCTTTGTTTTACTATTATTGATCTAATTCTACAACAATAGAAAAATAGGATAATGATTCCAGATCAATAATTAAAAAATATTTATGACAGTATCTATGAGCAATAAAAAGTTAAAAGTATTATGTGAGTTTTTCTGTTTCAATGATAATATGTTATAACGGAACAGAAAATCTTTAAAGGTCCATTTTTTTATTGTTCATATATAGAAAAGAATTATAGAACTAGAAATTTTTAATAATTTTTCAACTTCCGGCGACACAAACGCCAAAGATGCCGACTAGTTCTAACTATGTTTATACTGTAGTTGGTGACTATTGGACGACTCGTTAGCAAAGTACTAAATTATAATTATTGGATGTAATTATCTAATATTTGACGTTTCCATCAAAACATAACTTAACCTTATTCTTACATTGTTACTTTCATAGATAAATACCACTTGTTTTTGTAAGTAATGATGAATTGTTGATGCATTTGCGAATACATTTTATTTGATCAGTAAAAATGTGTTGAAATATATATATTTATAGGATAGTACTTAATATATATATATATATATATATATATATATATATATATATATATATATGTGTGTGTGTGTGTGTGTGTGTGGTGTGTGTGTTATATATGTATATATGGTTGTCATGTATGACACAGTAATGAAAGTAATACATGAACGGATAATACATGAGAAGTTTTACGATTTTTAACATTGTAAATAAGAATTTGAATTTATCTTTATTGATATTGTAATTATTGGAAAAAGTCACGCATTTTATTCCATAGTTTTTCAAATATCTTGTATCTAAAAATTAAATAATGACAATTGCAACTTAAATAAGATGTATGTATATCAATTGAAATGTATAAGCAACGTATATAGATTATTAATTGTTTCAGTTGTTAAAATGCAGTGTAGTCATGATATAGCAATATACTGTATAAATGTTACCTGAAAGTGAAAAAAATATAGACAACATGATAGAAGGTAAATTGAATTTACTATGAATACAACACTTCTATTATATCACTATGTATATAATACATTAAACTCATATCAGAAAATATCACACTTATAGGAGGGGATACGCAATCCAGTACAACAAATGATCCACACACTGGTAGGTTTCAATTTTATCAGTACTTTATACGTACAAGTTTTTTCTTAAAACTATATTTATGTGAAGTCATGTTCCAAGCTTGATATAATTAAGTTAGTGTTCATTGTAGGCATCTGTTACGTTACAGAATGGGGCTTCATCTCTTTTTCTATTATATTGAATTGTTGGTTGTTAGAATCAAAGACATTCTACTTCTGATAATAGAATGTGTATAATCAAACATAACCTATGATAACTTTGAATGTTGATATTTTAATATACATAAAAAATTTCAATAGTTAGATTTAAAAGTGAATATAAAAAAGTTACCAATATTTAAATTTTATATTTTTCTTAGAAGTTTCGGACTCTAGAATTGTACATAGTGAGGGATTACATGAAGGTACATCTGAATCAATATCCCAAATTAATCCTGAAACTGGTCAGGAACTACTTACAGTCCATGGGGCAACGCAAGGAGAAAGTAGTGATGCAGTTAGTATTCATACTGCTAGTACCTCAGCCTCTGGCAATGGTAAGTCTTCCATGTTGATACTTATATTGTTTTACATTATTATAAAAATAATTTTTAATT